TTCACAAGAAGAGGTATTAAATAAAAAGTAAAACTTTTATTTTCTGACGTATTAAATGTTGCATTTTTAAATCAATATTTTTTTAATTTTTATCTTCTCAACAAATATCCTCAAGGGAACCCTTAAATATTTAGTTTTTCAAAGTATGACAACTAAATTATTTAACTTTATAAACTATAACGCAATTGAGTATAAATTATTAAATTAATTTTAAAAAATAATTTAAAGTGTTATATAAAATATATTTAAAATATTTACGGACTACTATGTTGACATACTTTATTTTTCTTGTATAACAATATCAATTACTCGATTTGACTCCCATGTATAGCGGAAGCCAGAAATAACATCGATACACGATGAAACTATTAAATTGGATTATTTCTAAATGATATTAAAAAAAAAAACTAAACCACTGAATTATTGACTTAAAATGCGCAAACGAATTTTACTAAATTTGATAAGGGTTTGAATTTCGATCGCTTAATATATTAAAGAAATATAAAATTATTAATGCTTAAATTTTTAGATGGATGTAAATAAGCTGTTATAAATCTGATCCTCACCATCTTCATTCTATTAATAAAAATAATTAAATATTATAAAAAAAATTAGGTTAAATTGATACTTTATGTACTATGAATGAATGTGTACTACACCACAACATAAATTTGTACTGCACCTTGTTGAGGGACTAAAAAAATCCCAACATATTTTCCCTCAAGCAATCATAAGGTTCTGGTTTTTCAGTCCAGTAACATAATAAAATGATTCTATTATAATCCACTTGCACCATAATATATATAAATGATGATTACTAGCTACATGAATATAAACCTAGTCAATCTTGCTTCATTGCCCCCTCTTCTCTTAAAAAAAAATAAAAAAATTAATATTCTTATATAATTGTTAGCCCAGATTGCCTTTGCCGTAATGATGCAAGGCAAGTAGATACAGAAAATGACACAAACGATAACTCAACGTCATGTATTTTGCATTCTTAAGGTGAGTGAAAGGTGAGGCACAGCATGGGCATGGACATCCAGGTCCATGATAGTGAATATGCATCACTGCTGTTCAGAAAAATCCACTTATTGTGCTTAGAATATGCCAAATATTGTATTCAAAAAAAAAAAAAAGAATATGCCAAATATTTCAGACAAGTTGCACACACCACACCACGTTGCTGTGTCCACATGTCATATTTTGCTGAGCTCAGACATTATGAAATTTTTACTAACAAAACGTAATTATTTGAGGTGATTACAGATTTTAGATCACAATACTTAATTGCTTAGTTGTAGAAAGAGAACTATTATAATTACAACAATATTTAAATTGAGAATATGAATTTTTTTCCCCCAAGAGATTTATGATTACATAAACGTGCATAAGTTGTTGTTTTTGGGGTAATTGTTTTACTTAAATATGTAGTTTTTTTCTTCTTCTTAAAATGAAATAACAATACGCCAAAATTGAATGTCGATTGCTGATCTTTTTGTTTGTGCTTGTCAATCGCCATCAATCTTATTATGACATATCGTCGTATCCATGGTAAAGAAGATATGTTGAGTGAAATTATTGAAACCCATTGTGACTACTCTTAAAGGGACATACATCATTTTCTGCAAATAACGACATGCAATTTTATCTTCTTCTTTTTTTTTTGGGATTCGTTCCAATTTTATCTCTGTTAACGAATACAGTAAATTCGATACGAGATGATAGCACCCGTTACTCTTTTTTTTCAGTTGGAATCAATATGGTATTCTCATTCAACCCCTTATTAATAATAAGTGGATAAAGACTTTGTATATTTGTTACCTCTAGCTCCAAAGAACATTTGCTAATGATCAAATACACGACTCGATCCTGGGGAAACAGTTCACGATCAACTGTTCCTGCCCTGCCCCAGGGTTTATTCGTTACTTTTTTTGTCAAGGGAAGACTAAGGGTGAATAAAAGATTGAAGACAAAAGGGTGTAAAGAGACCTCAGTGACGCCCTACTACTATCTTTTTAATGGTTAATATTATTTTCTAACAAAAGAAATTGGTAACATAACAAAATTATATATGTGTAAAGAATTTTGGAATACACCACTCCAAAAGCTAGCTCAAAGAGTGGGAGTGCCCAAGACCTTATAAACTCCACATTAGTTACACATACAACTAACGGGGACTATATATCTCTACATCATGTTTCTATACATATGATGCGCTCGTATACATGAGTTACTTTTTGAAACTTAAAAAAAAATGACTAAAAAGAACAATTATGTAGTCTATAATTACTATATATATTATATTCTTTTTTTAAGTGAAAATATCCATTCTTTCTTGATACAACAAAAAGTAACAAGTTATTTTAGTGCTCAGTAAGTGAAGAAATTCTTTCCTTCTCGGTGGGGAGATTTCTTCCTCCATAGAAGATCATAGCCTTTGAGTTTAGGTGGTTATATTAAATATAAAGGTCCCATTAAAGATTATAGAGAAATATTCTTCCTTGTAAAAGAAAGAAGAATTTCTCGAGGCAGTGATTATACATGTCACATAGGAGGTCATCATAACATAACTCTCTAATTTCGTGAATAGTTTTATTTTAGACTGAAGATTACTGAAAAGTTTATTTAATGGGTAATTCATTAAATAAAAATAATTGGTTAATTATTCAAAATAAATACAGTTTTAAATTATCATTAAACTTTGATCTTTTGGGTTCAAAACTGAATATAGAAGAAAATACAAAAGCGTATCACTCTCAGAACTTGGAGAATAATGATGGGTTCACTGTAAGAAAAAATCTTATTAGTGTCGTAAATTTTGTCACTACATATGAAATTTCGTCACAAATTTATGAGTCGCAAATTATTTGTGACGAAATTTGATTATTTGTGTCAAAAATTATCATTTGTGCCGAAATTTTTTGTCACAAATAAACTTTTTTCTTGTAGTGGTTTATATGCAATGATATGGACCATAAGGTTAATGGCCTTACAGGAGAACCCGACAATGGGTTGAATTGAAGGTACCGTTTGCTATCATCTACCTTTATGTGGAAAGGGACATGTGGCAAAAGAGGCACGTGTCTCCCCGTGGTTGCTATGTGTAAGGAGACAAGGAGTATGGTTTTACTTCCAGTTCCAGATTTGTCCACATCTTCAACTTAATTCCATTCTATTGAATTGTAATTATCCCACAAGGACACAACATGCTGGGTTATGGGCCCAGGAAGCCCTTGAACCCTCCATGTTCGTGTCCAAAACAAAAATGTCTAGAGATCGAGAAATGGGCTCACACAAAAAAAAAACAAAAAATTAAATATATAATAATGCAAACTCTTATGCGTTTTGTATTTACTGGTATGACTGAAATTCTCTCTTTCCATGTCTCTAATTTTGTATCCCTAGTAAAATAGTAAGAGAGATGTGTAAAGTAAAATTGATATGTATTCTTCATTAAGAAAGAAGAAATTTTAAAAAAGAGTTATTATAAATAAATACATTTTATTTTAATATATAAAAATAGATTTACTGCTGTATTTACAGTTTTATGAAATGGACTAAAATTAATATAACAACCAACCAACTACATTTAAGCACGCCAGACAATATTACGGAGCAGATATTCGAATAATAGCGCATCTTTATAAAAGGTTGAAATTATTAAAATAAATAAATAATGCAGGCCCTTTATTTCTCATTGACTTTTCTTCTCGGTTTCTTTTGTTGTAGGAACTTCCATTTCGGATTAATAAATTTATAATAATATTATTATCATCTTCACAGCTTTTTTTTTTTTGGGCTTAAAACGTAACATTTATGAATTATTTAAATTTCTGAGCACTCAGCCAGAACAAACTAATATTCTTATTGGCACTAAAGTTAATCATCTGCTATTGGTCATAGACTAGTTTTATTCTGCGAAGTCATGGGTCATAGACTGGTTTTATTCCAAAGCATAAAGCGTGAATATACTAAGGTTGGCTTTTTCTACCGTCCAGTAGATAATTTATCTACAGTGAGCTCAAAATGATATCGTTTTGAGACGAAAATCAAGATATTTTTGTAATTATAATTTATTTCAGGGTTATAATACTCTTTTTTATTATAATTTTTTAATTTTTCAACCCAAAATGACGTCGTTTTGAAAGAGAATATAGATAACTTATCTACATTCACTTTAGAAACATTAAAGCCATATATACTAGAGTAGACAACGTGAAGGACAAAGAAAAGGCAAGAAGTTGATTTTTCCCATGAAAAATGTAGATACAAACACGACCTATTTGGTAACATGAGACATTCAAGCACCTTTAGTGCGTTACTTTTTTGGGCATTAGTAGTAGTCCCATCATGTATTGCCTTTTCCTTTATTATTATTATTATTATTCAAGAATTCCCAACAAATTTATGGTATTAAATCTAGAATGAAAAAAGAAAAAAATGGAATTTGATTGGTGGTTGTTGTTGAGTTTAGACACTTCAAAGTTGTGAACACTTCCGTGAGACAACAAGACCCATACACTGCTCAACGCCAACTTGATGCTTGCATAAAGCAGCTCGACAGATTGCTCAACACAACGGCAACTCAAGTGGATCTCTTTTATAAAACCACTAGAAGTACCAAGGAACTATGCATAAAGTGATAGATTCAAAAATCACTAAATCATCATACATGAAACATAAAACAGAAACTCTTTTGGGTTTCCCCTTATGGACTTCCGAATGCTGGGGCATGTTTTATTTTGTTCTCATGTTTTATTTTTATTATCCACTCCTCATGCTTCATTCATGGATATTACTTGTTTAGAATTAGGACATAAGCAGCTTATGGTTAGCTTGGGTTTTTTAATTAAACGCCTAACCCTACATGTAATTCCTCACTCCCAGTCATTGAAAAAATAGACCTACTTACCAAAAATAAAAATAAAAATAGACCTAACCTTCAGACCAGAACAGCATCGAAAATAATTACTCAGACATGATATTTAAAAGACATAATATTTATACTATAATTAGCACTGAAAATTCTTCAACCACAAGATCAACTATTATTAAGTCCATTGTATTCTCAACCCAAAAAGAGATAGCAAAATAATAAACATCAACCATAGGTACCACCGACATAAGATACAAGGGGGGACAAGGCTGCATGTAAGGCCAGACCATTAAAAACCAAGCCAAGAGCAATGCACCGTTTATGATATTTTTGCACTCGAGAAGTCCATCTCTGGATGCTGCAGAACATAGCCAATAAACATTAGAAGATTTTGGTGATCAGTCAGGCAACTTATGATGGGAAATCAATGAGGACAAGTCAGTAAGAAAGTCAAGTGTGCACCTCAGCCATAAATTTCTTCAAAACTTCCTGCTTTTGGAGCTCATCACTGGTAGGGAGGCCCATAGACTTCTGCCTCTGATCAAACTGTATCGCAGTACAACAAAATTGTAAACCAACCCGCAAAGAAACATCCTCAGATCCTAAGCAATGTCAGCAGATGCATATATCTTGAGGCTATATGAAAAAGGGTTCAATTCTTCATCCTTTTGATCTGAGGCTTAGCAAATTCCGGTTGCACATATTCATTCAGCTAACATATCTTCAACGGATTACAAGATAAACAGCTTGAAGTAAACATACCAAATACTTAATATGGTATAATTTTTAACAGTTTAACTCCAACAGAAGGATGGATGGATACTAAACAACAAAAGGATCTAAGGAATTGATGATGATGACAGACCAAAAACAACTCTAAAGTTATATAACCAATTAAAGTAAATATCATCAATTAGTTACCATCATTTTTTCGACAGTCTGTCGAGTTTCTGGATCCAGGTCAGAAAGTTTGCTGTTCTCAGGTTCAACTTTTTGGGTATCAATTTCAGGATCACCTTTTACCAGACATTTCCACCACTCCATTTGATCATGCTTAGTCAAAAGAATAGAAAGTGCACTCTGATCCTCTGCAAAATAGGTTTCGATGTAATGGGTAAAATATGAAGAGGTCATGACTCCTCACCAATAAACAAAAAAATCCAAATCACACCCCAATATTAGCTCATGCATGCACACAATTATGTGATAATTCAGAATGATGCAACCTCGGAATTTTTAGTGTTTTAAAAAATCAAATTCACTAATATGTTAATGGATTATTGCCCCTTCAAAGGATTATTCATTGTTGCAAGTAGTGCTGTACCTATGCTCCAATAGCAGTCATCAGGCTTGACAGGCCGGTATAACTCCCCCTGCAAATTTTTAAATTCACATATCACCAGAGTCATTACTAAAAATTAAAGATAAAAAATATCAACTTTGACACATGATAAGATCATTCACACACACACAAAAAAAAAAAAAACTTAAGTAGGAAACACCTTTTAATAATGAATGCTATAATAGGGAAAACACTGACCTCAATAATTGGGGGCTGGCCCTTGAGTCCAACTTTTAGGTGGTTTTTCTTTATCTCACAGATGACAAACCTTGATTTGGTTCCATTTGGCACTGGAACATTCACAGTAACCTCCTGTAGAGTCTGCGTCCAAGAATATTTTTCCAAATCCAGGCCGTTACCTTTGTTTGGAACTGTCCAGGTATCGAAACAAGAAAAGAAAAGAAAAGAAATAAATTAAAGTAAAACTCAAAATACCAAGTCTAACATACCTAACTAGTTTAGAAATGTTACACTTACTTATAACTTCGTTAAGGTTATGTTTTTCAGCGAAAATTTTCATGTTTGAATTACAAAATACGTTACTTATAATTTGGTAGTAACGTAACATTTAAATTTACACCACTCCACAATACAATACCAGTACATGCTGACTAAAAATATGCTTACATAATAGATTCACTATCCTGTCACCTGTCAACAACACTAATAAGATATTTACAACCTCTAAAATACATCTGATCCCACAGGTGACAAGTTAAAGTTAACTACCAAAACAACAAAGCTAATACTGACATACAATTATTATTACAAATCCAAACTATTATTTAAGAAAATAAGATGCGCCACTCCAAGATTGCTATGCATATCACCTATGGCATCTCTAGGACTTCTTACATTTAGGACATGTGGGAATTCTATTGCTAATCTGTATCTGTTTGCCGTTATTTAAATCTCTTTTGTACTTATTTCCTGGGGCTGAAATATAGATCTGTCCCCCTTTCTGCTTATCTTCCTCCCTCTTTCTTTTCCACCAACCTTGTTTCTGCTTGTCAGATTCCACATCCCTCAAATTCTATTCTATAATACGACATGTATAACCAAAGCCAAAAAATCCCTTATCTCCAAAGCTCCTACTATGTTCCTCAACTCATATTTCAAACTTGATTCAAATTTTGCAGTCACCCATTCCTCATCATGTTGATTCCTCACATATGAGAACAACTTTGCCAACTCCTCAAATTTTGCCATATACGCTCCAACTGACATGTGCAGTGTGGGCACAATGCTCCACCACACCGACTAACATAAAAGTTGCAAAATTCACCTTTTGCATATCCATACATTCTAAGACTCAAATAAATTTCGCTAATTCCTTCAGCCAATCAGTAGCTACTACCAGGTCATACTCCCCCTTAAATGAAGGAGGCTTACTCTTCCTAAACTCCACTAATCCCCAGAAATAACAATTTAAGTCCTCCGGTTGCTACTTGTTATGCATGGTTTCCATAATTTCCACTTGGAGCATGATTGTTGTTCCCTTGTAGTTGCTCAAAGATCTTGTTTGTGGCAGCTGCTTGCTCCCTCAAGACATTTTACACCTGAGCAAAAACATGTACCATGAAATTTATGCTAGCATTTCATGCAGAACGTCCTTGTCTATGACTTGCCATATTGAACATTGTATTGAGGTAATTAGTCTTCTTACTCCGAAATCAAGGTATAGAGAAATCACAATAAACATCATAGACCAACTGCTCTGATACTACATTGACTCACTATTTTAGTGCCACCTAGTCCAACTGCTCTGATACCACCAAATGTAACACCCCTAGCTAGCTTAGAACTGTCACACCTATCTTATAACTTGGTTAAGGTTATATTTCACAACAGAAATTTTTTGCATTTGAATTACACAATATAATAATTTGGTAGTAGCAAAACATTTAAATTTACACCACTCCACAATGCAATACCAGTACAGGCTGACTAAAAACATGCTTACATAACAGATTAACTATCATGTCACTTGTCTAACCATTAATACAATATTTGCAACAAAATAGCACTAGGACCTCCAACATACATCTTGTCCTACAGGTGACAAGTTAGTTAATTACCAAAAAAGCAAAGCCAATATCAACATTCAAATCCAAACTATTATTTTAGAAAATAGAATGCATGGCCACTACAATATTATTATGCATATCCCCTTTGGTATCTGAAGGACTTTTTCTCTAAAGGGCGCAGAAAATAAAGAGAATAATAATGAGAAATGAATTCTCACGGATTTTGAGTTTTCAAATATGACCACTTCCAGCTTTAGTAAATCACAAAAAATCTCACTTTTGTATTTTTGACTTAAATAAACATTCAGATTGCATATAAACATAGGATAAAGTGACGTATAAACATTCTATGCATGTTCAACATACAAATCAATGATATGGAAAGTTGGAAACAATGCGAATAAACAATCTTAAAATTACTAGCTTTAGTGAAATGCATGATTAATGCAGCATAACTTTCATTTATTTTCATTTCTTGGCATCATCTATTCTCTTCTGTCTTGCCATTTCTGGCCTTTCATTTTAATGTCATTTCAGATCTTTCATTTCATTCTCATTTCTGGCTTGCCTTTCATTTCACACTACTTCTTCTTTCTGTAATTAGAGCCCATAATCATTGCAAAGGCATCCCACTTGCCTATTGATTATTTGAATCCTTATAGCAATCCTCTAGAGCAACTTTGGTATAGGAAGGTACATTCCAAAAGTCACCCAATCATTGGAGATCTTGTTGAGAGTCATCCCCCCATATGGGATTATCTCTATCCTGGAGTAATGCGAAAATACCAGCCAAGGTCACCCAACCTTTGGGGATTATTCGTTATCGAGATTCACCAAACATTTGGGATCATTTTTCTCACAAAATAATGTCTTTCATATGACATATTTGCATAGTTTATCATGCTCAATTCATGATATCATGTTAATTTATTGATGTCATATGCTTGGAATGTCATGCTCACATTGTATCAATATCATGCTATAATGCTATTATTGTAGTATTTCATATAATCATGTTATATAAGAATCACATAGACTATGCATATAACCTTCATGATATTATTGAGAATAATTGTATGCGCATACTTTACATATTAATAATGAGTGCATATGTCATTTAACCTCATTTTGTGCATTCTTAATAACATGTAATACTCAGAATTATGCTAAAATTATATTTATGTTAAAATCCTCTGCTAAGAATCACAATGTTAAATGGATGGAGTATTCTTTTTCTTCTTTTTTGTCTCTAGTGCCAATGTGTTGAGTCTGGGTCATGGGTTCGAATTTGGGAAACAACTTTTTTGCAAAAATGCAAAGATAAGGTTGCGAACAATCGACTATCACCCCTATCCTCGCAAAGTTGACGAGCCTCGTGCATCGGAAATTGCCCTTTGTCTCCCGTGCCTATGCATTGAGTCTTGAGCGCCCAGGCGCTAGGTAGTAGGTAGGCAGAGAGCAAAAAAACATATTTTCCTAGAATTTATTCATGACCAAAAGTAGAGAAATCTTGGGATCTCTCCACAAAACCCATAACCACAAATAGGTATTTCTGCAACTCTCTTTCTTCATGAAATTCCCACAAATTCTATGACAACATTTTATATAAAATAATGAATTTAAAGTTGCAAAACTTTCAAATAATGTCATTTGTCCTAAGATTCATCAACATTAAAACCCATCACAATCAGCGCAGAAGTACATCACAATCACTCTCCCAAGCTAACACGTTTAATACCTATCACGTACGTTGCCACTACAAATATAAAATACCAAACCAATAAACGATATACAGGCAATAATTTACCATTGAAGTATGGCTATTCCCTCAGAATTCATAATAATGCAAATGCAACACAATCAGCTCAGCACAAACAAAAGGGGGAAAAAAGAAGAAAGAATGCAAGAGCAAACTAAAAATGCACATTGATCCATTTTCTTTTTTAACTTACCTCTGGAGCCGCTTTCCTCGTTCTTATTGTCTTCCACTTTGAGTTCCTTCTCTTCCTTCAACCTTTTCTCAGCTTTTTCTCTCTCCTCCGAGGCCTTCAGCTCCTCTCTCTTCTTCTTCTTCCTCTTCTCTCCCACGGCGCGCACCAAAGACGCTACCTCCTTCTCGGCCGTCTCTGTCTCCAGAAAGTCGCATTCTTGGGAGATGAATTCGAAGACTCTCTCCAGAAACGCAACGGGATTGGATCGATCAAAACTCGCACTGAACGAAGACGAAGAAGAATGTGATGGGGAGGCTTTGGTTTTGGATTGAGTCTCTTTCTGCTCGTCTTCGTGGAAATCAGAGATAATCGCCATGGCTAACTCGCGAGTTCAGAATTGGAATGTGAGTGGAGTAGGGTTTAAGTTAACTGAAATCTGGAACATCAACAAGGGGGATACAAACAGTACATAATTCGAGATAGTACTATAATATTGCTATTTATAAGTACCCATGATTCTTTTGGATATCACTGGACGAGGCCTAAATCATGTTTACTAGGTTGTTTGTACCAAGATTGTTTAATATATTGTATCGTGTTCACTATTTTTTTTGTATCATGTATGTTAAATTGTACCGAATCCAAAAATGTAAAAAAATTTATAATATTTATTCCTTAGAGATTTAGAATATTTATTTAATTATTTTTTTTATTAATATAAATTTTTTAAATTAATTTTTAAGTATATATATTAAAAATTATAAATTTTGATTTAATTTTCATATCATATGATACACGATATGTATCGTATCGTAATATATAATATATAATATCGTATCATTAGTTAAATATTCTTTTCGGATATATCTAACTATACGTATTATTGAGCTTATGAATTGTATCGTATATATCGTACAATATTATTGATAATTAGGGGTTGCACCGTAACTAACATATCAAAGTATAATGGTGTTGGATTTTAGTTTAACATGTTGAATTATTATTTGAATTTTCAAAATTTAATTTTTATTTGAACAAAATTTGAGATAAAATGAATTTTCTAAGTATGATAGTTTATAAGATTAATTAAAAATGGTAAAAGATATTATGGGTGCTCGCAGTCTAGATTGGATCGATTTTGAAAGCAAAAATCATCTGATCCAATCCCTTTAGTTTAATCATGTAATCATCCATTCGATTTGGATTTTTTTCAAATCTGATCCGATCCAATCCAATCCAATTTTATTCGGTTTGGATTGGATCGGTTTTCGATTTTTTGAAAAGCCTGAGATACGAAGTAACCCAAATTTTCATCGCAGGAGTGTTGTACAACAATAATCATGTAATAAAAATATATTATGTATCTTACCAAAAAAAACATATAGATAAAGCACAATCCACTTTCTCCAACATGATGGATTAATGGATCTTGGATTTAAAATTTTGGTATATGATTTTTGGGCTATGATTGGAGAAATGCCCAAGTAAGTAGATGATAAGGTTGGAGAATCATTGGATCGGTTTGCATTAGATCGATTTTCACCAACCAATTCAAAAATTGATCCATATCAATTAAATTTTGCGGTTTTTTTTTAATTTTCAATTTTCGGTTAATTCGATTTTTGAATTTTCTGTTCGGTTACCGCGGTTTGAATCAGTTAATGAACACCCCTAAAAGATGTGATCATTTAGACAATTATCAATAAAAACAGACAAACTAAGTCACTAGAATTGATCTAGTGGTAAGAAGTTTAGATAGGTTGTATTAGATTACTAGTTGATTACCCGTGCGATGCACGGAGAAAAAAATCGGTTTGTTTGTCTTGTAAAAGTTAGCGTAAAATATAAATTAGATTGTTAGTTGGAATTTTATAGCGCACAATAATTCAAAAAATAATTTACCGGGTAGATATAATATGTAAGAGAGTCGTAAGTTAATTTTGATAGTAGTCTGGAAAAGACTTTAATAATGTTACATTAATGACATCGAATATGGAAATAATAGTTTATTGCATATGTGTTGCACAAAGAAAAGAGCAATTCTGATAAACTGATTTCAATGTAATGTCAAATGATGTCTATAATAGATTCAAATCGTGCATCATACGAAGAACAAAAAAATTGACATATTGTGCTTGACTTCAAGGTAAATTAAAGATAGTCCAACCTACGCTTGCAATTCTGATAAATTCTAAATAAAAATAATTATATCTATCAGCATTTTATATAAGCATGTAATACGTTTTTATATCTATTATCAACAACAAAAATTTCTTATAGTTGCATCTAGATTCCTATATGTCTATATTTTCTATATTTAGACAGTAAACATAAGAAAAAAAATATTGGCGGGCGGGGTGGTCCGGCCCTCCGGGCCGAACCCATTTAGCCACATATGTATGTCAGCATTTTATACCGGCATGTAATAGGTTTTTATATTTATCCACAAAAAAAAGTTTCTTATAGTTACCTCTAGATTACTATCTATCTATGTGTTATATAATTAGACAATAAACATAAGAATAAAAAAAAGCTGTTGGTGCACAGGGTGGGCCGGCCCTCGGGACTAAGCCCAATTCGCCAACTATAACTGTCAGCATTTTATATCAGCATGTAATATATTTTTATATTTATCCACAAAAATGATTCTTATAGTTGCGTCTAGATTATTATCTATCTATGTTTTCTGTAGTTAGACAATAAACATAATAATAGATATAAAAAAGTGTTGGTGAGCATGGGCGGGTCGGCCCTCCGGACCGAGCTTATTTTGTCACCTCTAACTGTCAGCATTTTTATATAGGCATGTAATAGATTTTTATATCTATCAATATATTTTATAATTTTAAATATTTTTTACGTTTAATTCGTAATTTTTTATTAAAATTAAGTTTTTTATGCATATCTTTCTTCCAGTTTTATAATTAATTCTGATAGGTATAATAATTAAGCCTAATAGACATAATAATCACTATCATTAATATGCTTAATAATTTTTCATGCAGAAAGTAGTGAGCAATATTAAATGCTGAATCTTTTCCCACCTCTCAAGTTCAAAATTCAAATTTAAAAAGTTTATTAAGTATTAAATATTTTCCCTCCGAATAGACATAATAATAAATTAATAACCTTAACAATTTTCTATGCAAAAAATAAAAGAAAACATACTTAGAAGTCTGTGCACATTCTACAAGTAATAGCTTCTAGGTAATCATTCACGATATAGAAAATTGTGTTAATTATACTCTTACATCAAAAGAATGAAAGTTTGATTTCTTTCTAATATATTTTTTAAAAATTTAAAATTCAACATGATAATAGAATTAATTATACATACTTTTAAAAAATAATTTTTTCTCTTTTAATTTATATTATATACACACACATATATATATATATATACACATTTAAAATATTTATCATAAGTATTTTTTTAAAAGTTTCTTGTACGAAATTTTTTTCCTTTTTGTATCATTACTTTAAGTTAATATTATAATTTACTTTATTTTAAAGTTTATTTTTATAATTTTAAATATTTTTTTCGTTTAGTTCGTAATTTTTTTATTAAAATTAAGTTTTTTATGCATATCTTTTTTCCAGTTTTATAATTAATTCTAATAGGTATAATAATTAAGCCCAATAGGCATAATAATAACTATCATTAATATGCTTAATAATTTTCCATGCAGAAAGTAGTGGCCAATATTAAATGCTGAGTCTTTTTCCACCTCTCAAGTTCAAAATTCAAATTTAAAAAGATTATATTTTAAGTATTAAATATTTTCACTCCGAATAGACATAATAATAAATTAATAACCTTAACAATTTTCTATGCAAAAAATAAAGAGAAACATGCTTAGAAGTCCGTGCACATTCTCCAAGTAATAGCTTCTAGGTAATCATTCATGATATAGAAAATTGTGTTAATTATACTCTTACATCAAAAGAATGAAAGTTTGATTTCTTTCTAATATATTTTTTTAAAATTTAAAATTCAACATGATAATAGAATTAATTATACATACTTTTTTTAAAAAAAATTTCTTTTTAAATTTATATTATATACATATATATATATATATATGTATATATATATATATACATTTAAAATATTTATCTTAAGTATTTTTTAAAAAGTTTCTTGTACGAAATTTTTTTCCTTTTTGTATCATTACATTAAGTTAAGATTTTAATTTACTTTATTTTAAATTATATTTTTATAATTTTAAATATTTTTTCATTTAATTCATAATTTATTATTAAAATTAAATTTTTTTATGCATATCTTTTTTCTAGTTTTATAATTAATTTTGGTATAATAATTAAGCCAAATAGACATAATAATAAGTATCATTAATATGCTTAATAATTTTTCATGCAGAAAGTAGTGGACAATATTGAATGCTGAATCTTTTCCCACCTCTCAAGTTCAAAATTCAAATTTAGAAAATTTAAATTTTAAGTATTAAATATTTTCCCTCCCAATAGACATAATAAAAAATTAATAGGCTTAACAATTTTCTATGCAAAAAATAAACGGAAACATGCATAGAAGTCTATGCACATTCTCCAAGTAATAGCTTCTAGGTAATCATTCACAACATAGAAAATTGTGTTAATTATACTCTTACATCAAAAGAATGAATGTTTGATTTCTTTCTAATATATTTAATTTTAAAATTTAAAATTCAACATGATAATAGAATTAATTATACATACTTTTAAAAAATAATTTTTTTCTCTTTTAATTTATATTACATACATGTATATATATACGTATATATACATTTAAAATATTTATCTTAAGTATTTTTTAAAAAGTTTCTTGTACAAATTCATTTTGCTTTTTGTATCATTATTTTAAGTTAAGATTTTAATTTACTTTATTTTAAAGTATATTTTTATAATTTTAAATATTTTTTTATTAAAATTAAATTTATTTTATCTATATCTTTTTTTCCAGTTTTATAACTAATTCTAATAGGTGTAATAATTAAGCTCAATAGACATAATAATAATTATCATTAATATGCTTAATAATTTCTCATGCAGAAAGTAGTGGGTAATATTAAATGCTGAATCGTTTCCCACCTCTCAAGTTTAAAATTCAAATTTAAAAAATTTAAATTTTAAGTATTAAATATTTTCCCTCCCAATAGACATAATAATAAATTAATAGGCTTAACAATTTTGTATGCAAAAAAAAGGAAAACATGCATAGAAGTCTATGCAAATTCTCCAAGTAATAGCTTCTAGGTAATCATTCACGACATAGGAAATTGTGTTAATTATATTGTTACATCAAATGAATGAATGTTTGATTTCTTTCTAATATATTTAATTTTAAAATTCAACATGTTGATAGAATTAATTATACATACTTTTAAAAAATAATTTTTTTCTCTTTTAATTTATATTATATGCATATAAATATATATATATTTAAAA